GCTCTTCACCTCTTGTTAAATGGCTTTGAGTTCTTAAATAGAATAGGTGTAATGAGGTAATGATTCAGGAATATGTCTGCTTTTCATGTATATTAAAGTTTGCTTTTTCCGGTACACTGACACGTAAGAGAGTTAAATTCCTCTGATGAGTTTCTTAAAAGTTTCTTTAAAATAATGAAGACCACTATGCAAACATAAATACTGCTGGCCTTGCCCTCCATGATCTTTTTACACAAACTATACAGAAAGGCAGATATAGAATTACAATATTCTTAGAGAGAAACAGTGATAAACAGTTCAGTCATGACCAGATGGTTGTGGGATCACATGAACACAGTGACTAGGTAGTGACTCTTACGTTCTAGCTGTGAGTATAAAGTTACATGTAAAATTGTGATTCTTAAGTGACTAGGGACTTATTCAGTTGCTTAAATGACTACAGGTCAAGATTGTTACAAGAATAGGGATTCTACCTCCAGCAATGTAATAAATACAATTCTACTACTGCCCATCCTGAAGTTTGTGAAAGAGATATTCAGGTTCTTTTTGTTTTTTGTTTTTTGTTTTTTTTTTTTTTTAAAGAGCAGAGGAACAAGATGCATGCCAGGCTGTTGCCTTTCTACAGGGGTTGAAAATAAAATAGTGGAACCACATCTTTTTTTCCAGGAGTCTTGGTAGCTTATTCAGCTTTTTGGCAACCTACTTTTTCAGTGTATGCATGCATGAGTCAGAGAAGAACTTACTGATCCTGTTAGCATTTTGGGAAAAATAATTTTACAAAAGTGATTTGCTTTCAAGCATCTTCAGCTGTAAATAGCATTCACAGCAGCAAAAACAACTCATCTAGTGGTTTACAACCAAAGTTTTAAAATTTGATGTACAGCCAGCACAAGCAGTATCCAAACCAGTAGACCATGTACAGGTGATTTCCCACCTAAAGAATGTGACAAAGAATCTATTCCCACTTTCAGTAACCCATTCCTCTCCACGGAGTTGTACAAAAAATGGCAAGAGAAAGGGGACTCTGACTCCAATAGTATAAGATGACTGCATGACTAGATGTGGGATGAGAGTGCTGCTTTTAGTTTGTTTAATTCTGACATCAGAATGACTTCTGACACATTCAAAATCAATACTTCTTACAAAATAAGGTAAGGACTCCTCCTTACCTTAATCTGATCCAAAGCAGTGTTAATTTGAGATGGTGTAGTCATCCAGGAGGGATTACAGCAGGTCTAGTTCTCCCAGTGATCTAGTCTATGACTTAGACTGCTCCAGGTAGGTCTCACAACAACCCTTCTGTAGGGCCTTTGTTCTCCTAGGTTTAGGGACTGGGTTTAGATACACCTATAAATGAAGAAGAGAGAACTACCCAAGCTCACAGAGCCTTCTCATGAGCTAACATCACTCACATTTCAGGCACCAATATGCTGTTGCTGAAGAAATTCTACCCATAAGGATACGTAAAAAATACAGATTTAAACGCCCAATGAAGGGGCCATTTGCAACCTTAAAAAAGAAAAAAAGCTAAGAGTAGAGCGCTTTATAAAGGTGGATACAAATTTCTTCTCATCTCTCATTAAACTTGCAGCCCAATGGAAGGGATCTTTAAATATGAGCAGCCTTATTTTTTTCCTTCTCTCCTATCAAAAAGATCACTAGCAAGAGGCAGCATCAACCATTGTAATTTTGGCAGGCTGACAGTCGATTTTTTCACCTCCTCCATCCCATCCATCATGTTATGGCATGGTAATGATAGTGTCACGCTCAGGGTCAACCAAGATCTGGGAAAGGCTCCAAAAGATGCATCTTTAGGATATGGCTCCAACTTTAACTGAGTAATTTTATATACAGAAATGTGAAAAGGAATAGGAAATATTAGCACCTTGTCTTTTCCAGCCTATTGCTGCAGAAGTGATTCCCATCTGTTTGTTCTTATAAACTGATGGAAACCTGTCAGTTGGATTTGACATATAGAACTGAATTTGAAAGGAAAAAGTGGAATCTACATTTCTTGAAGGCAAAAACAATCAAGATCGTTGTACATTTCCAAATTCCCCCAGGCCATAACACCTACTACTGCTTCAAACTTGGGCGGCAAAGGCTGCATCTGGTTGGTACTTTTGTGCCAATATACGAACTGCAAGACAAGAAAAGCCTTACGAATTAGTACAAAGACAGCTATGCCAAAACAGTGAAAAATCATCTTTTGAGTAAACTATATCCTGACATATGCAGCTACCACATGATTTTCAGATATTTATCCTTATTTTTTCTAAACATACTTCACCGAATGCTATGCTGATATCACATACATCTGGTAATTACTGCAATAATACACTTAAAGAGACAACTTTCTGACAGACTCACTAAAAGCATAACCCATTCTCACACAGTGAGAAGCACAGTGACTCAGATCATAGTCAGTGTCATCTGATTTTAGCAACAAGACAATGAGCAGCTGTTAAAAATCCGAGCTCCAGAACTTCTTTTTAATAAGAAAAAGAGAAAAGTCTTTTAACAAAGTCCCCAAAATTAAGGAACATGGATGCGAACATGGAAAAGTGACTGCTGTGATTTTTTTTAAATCCACAGAAATAGGCAAAATTGCCAAATCTTAAACTGTGCAGAGGTAAAATCATGATAAATGTTAAACAGAACTTAATATAATTTTTATCTGACTACTATTACAGGACTCTGAAGAAAGATGTCCTCATCTCAGCTATCAAAATCCTTGAATCGCAGAGACAGGCTCTGAAGTCAGATAGCTGTGAAAAACATTTGCACGTTACGTTTTGCATCATGGGAAGATCTGAATGGAAGTGAAACACAGGCTGTGATCTTTGTAACATACGACACTGGTTTAATACAAAAACAAAAACTCTAGGTAATATCTATTGATCTGTACATTCCCGCAAACGGAGCAGCTGACTGCCTGCTGAGGAATGCAAAGCAGTCCTTGGAGTTTGCTCTCATAGATATGCTCATTAAACACACTAGCAATTAAATCTCTGCTCACAGGACTTTCATGGGTTTTATAGCAAATATCAGACAAAAACAACAACAGCGCCGAAGAAAGGGTCCTCCTCTCCCTAGGAAGTGCTCTAACTATTCACAGAAAGAAATCATGTGCCTCTTTGTATATCCCTATGATTTAAGAAGTATTGCACTCTTTAATACAGCTTCAAAAGGCATGGTGAAAAGGGATCTGCAAGATTCAATGCTGCTTTAGCAGTGATTTCAAATTAAGTCAATATTTGGTATTTAAATTACCTCAGTTTTTAAGACACCTGCCTTATTTCATGGGGAATATGATCTCTTGCACAAGTTCAGAACATAAGATCCAGTTTGTGAGTGTCCTGTTTCAAATGTACTCCTTCATTAACAAAATCACTGCAGGAAAAATATTGCAAAAAGTTTGGAAACCTCTGTGAACGTGCCAGATCTTTAAATGGTGGAGCAACTAACATTTCCCTGAAGAGAAGAACTGGCCTTTGAAACACAAAGTGGTGACTTCAGCGGTTTCATGAAGAGTTGAAGCACGTTACAATCTTGTCAGTTTTTGAAGTACTCTTGGTGACTTAAGAGGGAATATCATTAACAAATATAAAATGTGCTCCACGTGATTCTAAAGAAAGCATAAGACAGGTTTGAAATCCCTAAACCCTGTAGGTTTTGCCATAAATACAGCATACAGTGAACACTGGCCAGAGCCAACTTAGCTAAGAAGCTAATTGGATACAGGCTATCTGCTTTGCCAGCTGCACTGTTAATCTTCTTACTTAACAGCACATCATGATGTTCAATTAGCTGAAGTGCTTTTAGCATGTTCAGAGGCTGATAAAAATAACTAAATAGCCATAGCACATAAAAGAGAAACCAAATATTGGAGCAGGTTAATCATCCTACTGGACTCAGAAAGTAAACTTGCACCTCCATTGGTATCAGCATATCAGGTTTGTTGTGGCTTGCATATCATTTACAAAGTGGTATAATGTAAGTGGGTTCCAAACATTTATTTCATTAGTCACAGACTAAGCCAATATAACATTCATTAGTCATGGATGTCGATAGTTATTAACAGGTTTCCAAAGGCACTTTCCTTTTAGTGTCTATTTCATTCCTTTTGCATGCCTTTTAATTATAAATTAAAAACCAGTGCAAACATTACAGTAAGAAAGAGAACTAAAATGTTTTATTGCTTGCTACCTTTTCAAAAGAGGAAAATGGATAATTTTGCAGAATTTCTTAACATAAATATGCATTTTCCTTTAATAAATGCTCTACATTTTCAGTGTATTATGTTTTTATGCACACCATTATCATTTGAAATAATCAAGGAACCAAGTTACCTATTCTGTACACTTTTTATAACAAAGAATTTCATTTTTATAATGAGATACCCGTTGCTCTAGAAAAGGTTCAGTTTGCAGGTATATTTTACATATGACAATTGATTAAAGTTTCCTCAAGCAGCCAATTTAATCCACTAAAATCTCACATAATTTATTGATAGTAGAAGAAAAACTAACTCATTTTCTAAGATTTTTCCAGATATTCTTCTGCTATGAGCCAATATACAAAGAGCATCAAGGCAGAATTACAGTTCCAAAAGAAAAGCTATCTGCAGTCCTGACTTTATAAGTGAAAATATTAATATAGATATTAATTTAGTCATTGCAAACACTAAATCTTAAAACAAACTGGGGCATCAGAAGCAATTGCGTTTCAGAGTAAGCCAGACAGGAGACCTCAATAAAAATAGAAGTTCCAAGCTCTTGCTGTATCTAACGATGAAGTCACGCGTATGGGTTGTTTGGGCTTTTTTCCCTTTACAGGACTGAAGTCCAGATGACCTTGATAAGGTCTGCCTCATAGGTGTCAGTGTAGGGACCGGGCTTGCAAATTGAACAATGTCATTTGTTGGCTCATTCTCACAGATATTACCATAATAAAATGAGGATTAGAGACCCATCTTGACAGAGACTAGAAACCCCAAGATGGAGGTCATGTTTGAGAGCCACAAGTAATTACTATATTTTCAATACTTAAATATCATTACTAAATATGTAATTATGGAAATGCATCAAAGGAGAAGATTTCAGTTCTACTTTCTTGATGCCTTAATGGCTTTCTAAGTGAACCATAAGTTCTTAGTCCAAATTCAGTGCTTAACGTGAATGTATGGACCTGTAATGAATAAAGTGAAATTAAGGACAAGTATGGATCGTTAAGTTTTAAAACAGCTTGTTAAAAGGGATTGAATCAACGTGGTGGTAGAGATGTCTAAAACTGAGTTTCATCTATAAGTCAAACCAGGCTTAATTTTATAAAGAATTATACAGGATGATCTAAAGTCTATACAAACTCAGAGTCATATCTTTGTTATAGAAGCTCTAAAAAGTTGCATTTTATTAATCTGTAGGACATTCACATAAAAACTTAATTTCATCATAATTATAGGTAACACTTTGCATAAAAAGGTATTGTCTATAAATACACTGGAAAATGAAAGACAAAAGTAATTTCTAATTTTTCAAATAAAAAGAATAGAATAAAAACTAACTTGCTAAAACAAATACTGACAGAACACTTTTAAAATCTCGATAGTTCTTAAAAGAACACATCAGGACTGCAGAGAAATTAAACCTCTTGAGAGCTCATGTAATCTGCGGTGTAGATGGCATAGTGCCAGTATTATTCATCAATTAACCTTTCTCATTTCCTGGTTAAACTACAGGTGTCTTTAGGACTTAATATTTCAACTCTAAATATAAAGTTATAAATTAAATGTTAAATATTCAACACATGAAAGGTTAAGCACTGATCTACTCTAGCGAGAAAGTGTTCACTCTTCTCTGAATTTGTGCATGAGAAGTTGAGTCTCTGTACAGAACTTAACCATCTAACCGTTAAGACTAGAAGCAACTTACTCTGCAGTAAAAGTACTAATGGTGAGAAAAAGCAATCACTTGAACAGACTGTGCAGGGAATTGCTTTAAGGCATTAATCAGACCTAAACCTGATTAAAGGTCTAATTGGCTTGATTACTGAAGGCAAGAAGAAAACAAGTGCTATCTATACCTCTTCATGGCAAAAGATCTGCAGAGGTTTCAAGATAGTTGAATGGATAAGATGTTTAATAAAATAAAATTATTATTTTCTAGAGCAAAATTATCACCTGAGGAAGCAGAATTTAAAAATGAAGGCGTCCCTCCACCTCCACAGCCCCAGGCATCTACAGGCCAGGTACAGCCTTTATTGTTCGTAGACTGAGTAATACTAGATTTTCTTTGGAAACTATCTATGCAATTAGATTCCATAACAATCCAACCTTAGATTTTCAAACAAACTTACTGCACTGGATATCAATTAGTCTTTAGCTAAATCAGATAAATGACTTTATTTCTTCCTACCCTCCAGGCTCTTCTTTGTGAAAAAATAGAGATTTACTCCTTTTCTGAGATGCTTTCCAAATAAGACTAGCCTGCTATATGGCTGATTTTAATGCCCTGACATATTCCTCTTTGTCTTGCTGCTTGCTGACAGCAAATGCAGTATATTCTTTCTAAATATTGGAATGGCATACAGATTATATATATGCTTGTTTCCCTGTAGTTGCTGGAAAGGAAGAGTAATTTAGTATCTTTTTGAATATTTTATTTGGTTTGGTTTTAGTAATATAATTCCAGTATAATTTTTACTAATATAATTTACTAATATAATTAATATACTAATATAATTTGAAAAATACAAGTCATCTATATTATGCTATAGTTATATTTTATTTTTCTATGTAATGCTTCTATACTATAAAAATTAACTCATTCTTTCCATATCAATTAATGGAATATTTTAAGATGAGGCAGCAGGTTAGATATTCCTTTACTTGTTAGCTTTAAAATTTTATCTTTTCTCAAAATGTCACACAAAACGTTCAGGGGTTTCTCCCTCCCTTTTTTTTTTTTTAAACAGCTTTTTTTTTTGTTACATAATCAAAACTGCAAAAGCCAACAATGCAAGGTTTAACCAAACAATTAGGAAAGTGAAACCACCTTTTTTCAGAAGCCATATAAAATATTAGCCATTCACGTAAAGCTTGAGAAAGTAATCTTATGAGAGGGAGATGTGGAATCATACATTCTAATTCAACTCAAATCTTATGAAGAATTTAGAACAAACTATAAAATATTTTATGGGGAAAAGTAGAAGTGTTGAAGTTCATCAGTCACCAGAATTAGCTGGATATTTCCACTGTTGTATATTTACTACCAGTAACTATATCTTATAGTTGCTGGTGAGATTTTATTTAGCGTGGCCTAAGCATTTAGACAAAAAATAATTTTTTGTTGTAGGTCAGTGGCTTTCGAAAGAGTTTCTACTGCTCTGCTAATCTGCTTTAAGCGTGGTGGCAGCATGAGTCCTTGTGGGGTGGAATAGCTTCACTTTCTCATACCAATAGCCTGAGAACAGCTTGCAATGGAGAGACTAAGGCATCAGCTAAGTTTCTGCAGAATTTTACTAACTTAGGGAAAGTTTTCATTGCACGATGGAATAGTCCTAGTTATTCTAATGCATGTCATGTCAAAATTCCTAAAAGCATCACTCTTCGTGCTTTACTGGGATTCAGGAGATAACAAGCTACAGAGCAAATTCCAGAGTTAACAGTGAAGGAGCTGCAAAGGTCCTAGAATCTGTAAGTTAGTACTGGTGAGAAAAATAAGCATCTGCTAAGCTGGAAAATTATTATAGCTTCTGTCTCCCTACTATTCATCATGTAAGACGACCTAAATCAAAATAAATGCTTAAATAGCAATTGGGCCACTATGAGTAATGTTCATGCTTGTTTTGATTTCTGCATATCAGTTTTCTGACATTTTTCAAAAACAAAAAAATTCTTTAAAGAAGAAAGAAATCCTGAATCTGAACAGCTGCATTCTGTGTACCATCCTACTTCACCTGACAAAAAGGGTTCTTTTTTTTTTTTTGGGGGGGGGGGGGGGGGGGGGAAATAATATATTTAGGTTTCCCTAGACAAGTTCTCACTAGAAAGATTCCATACATGAAATGCAATACCCAGATCATACCCCCATTAGTACCCGCCATTTAAAAATACAGTTTGGGGGGACAGGCAGAGAAGGTGGAAAATTGATCCAAGATTAAGACGTTCTGCCTGTGAAGAGATATCCTCTTATCTAAAAAGAAAAGAAGGAATGGTCTTATGCTAGTAGGGGGAAGCCTGAAATAGAGAAAATAACCTTCAAAACAAATGATCAGGCAGATATCTTTGGTATACACAGAGATTCACTGAGTTTTTAATTTTAATTAAGAATATATTAGAACTTCAATGTCAGATTCTCTGACTAGAAGCAGACAGGAAAAGAAAAAACACTTACAGGAAAAGATAAACCCTAAATTAATCTCAGTGATTCAAAAAATAGAAAGATGAGTCTGCAAATGGAGAAAAAAGGAGAAGCCCTGAAATCTCATGATTTCCATAGGCCTGTTGTATCTGTTATCTCCCTTTATTAATCAGCATGATAAACATCAGACAGATCCATTTTGCCTATGATAACAAATGCTCATGGGTTTGACTAGGCACTATGCTGTCACATAGCACCATGTACGCGTAAGACTTCCCCTGTCCTTATCACTCCTTCCTCCTCAGGACACTCTGTCCAAGCCGAGGAAGACCAAAGCGCATGCTGCACGTGATGGATTGGTTCATCAGTCTACATCCATGCATGAAGGAAGCAGTGAAACTTTTGCAGAAAAACCTGACATTGTCTGTGTTTTGTGAAGATTAAATTGGTCACCTAGTCAGTGGATGGTCTATTGGCCCTGTAAAAAATTTAAGCAAGAGACTAATGTGAGGGTGCAGACTGGGCTCGTGAGTGGCCACCCTGAACAAGCCAGCCTTGACGATATGAAGGAGGTTCTGGGAGAATGCAGCAGCATAACTCTAGGCTAACTAAGGATGTGCAGTAGATCTGAAGACAACACTCTAATTTCAGTATTTAAGCCTGTTTGTGAACCTAGCTGGAAATTCTTGTCCGAGAACACAGAGAATACCCATGAGAAATGCAGAGTATATGTGAACTTGGGTGTTTAAATTCCTGTGCAGATACTGCAAGCACCAGCTCATTCATAGTCTCAACAGTAAGAGTCTGCAGTTTCTAATATTTCTGCTTATTTCCTTAAGGGTGAAAAGAAAAGTAAAGATGGGCCACAGAAAGCTGAGGCTGGTAAGAATGGAGGACCAGCACCAAAACAACAAGGTTAGTAATAAGCCACTTAAGAGAGCTCAAAGATTGTCTGGACAAAATATATGTATGGGATTTAGGGCTGTAAGTAAAATCATTCCTCTTCCAAATGCTATGCTCTGCCAGGTGCTGATCTTATATTTTATTTCTGAAAGAAATTAAGAACTCTGAATTCCCACTGACCCCAAACCAATAATTTGTTACAGCAATACCAGCACTGTCCAACAATAATAAAAGAAATAAGCTTGCAAGCACACAATCCCTTCATCAGCTTGTCCACTTTTATTGGCTACTCTAACAAAAGCTATTTCCTTTTACTGTAAGCTTGATTTCATCTTGGAAAACTAACTTTAAAATAAAGATGTTTACTAGCTTAAGAAAACTGTATATATTTTTATGTATCTTTTGAGTATGTTTCATGTATGTGTATATATATATATTTTTATAGAGATATATATATATAGGGTTGTGTATGTGTATATAGATAGTTAGATAAAATACCCGAAAGATATATAGAGATATAGATGTATGAAATTTAGAAGAGGAGACATTTTAACCATCTGACACTCACGTCTTTTCCTCAACATGAGAAAAGTGAGCAGTCATTCAAATCTTCTTCCAAACAGAAATGCAATTAAAAATTATTTGTCATCACCATTCAGAAGATATCCAGGACTGGAACACGGGAACACAGAGCTCAGAGCGATAACACAAACCCATTAATTGCCTAAGCAGCTGGTTGCTCTAAACAGCAGCAGCATGACCATGGCTATTTTGTCATGTTCCCCCCAACTCCCTCCCCCCCTTCTTTTTAAGTAGTCGCTCGTATTTTGCTTATATCAGAGTTCTGAAAAAAACAGAGTGACTGCTGCAACAGCTACCAAAATAGAAGGCTAAGGATGGATAAGGCAACAACTACCGCTGGGCCAGGCCCTCTCTGTCCTCCCTTAAGGCAACAGTGGTACAAGCCTTTCCCCTTCCATCCTCCCATACTGGTAAAAACACTGAGTCTAGGTTTTTGGCCAGCCCTTTTCTCTTTCTGTCACCTCACCTCTTTCCTTTTGGACAACAATTAAAGCTCTCTTCGCTGCAGCAGCAAAGACAGGCTGAGAAACTTTCAGCTTTCTATGATAAAGATGATTTAAGGCAAGAGGAGCACTGGAAAAAGACCATAAGGAAACTTGCATAATCCCTTCTGGCACTTTGTGTAAGTAGTTTCACTATTCCTTTCCTGATATATCCAAACTTTAAACAAAGTCCATTTAATGTAATTATCTTGTTATAAAATGGCTGTAGCATTAAATCAATGAAAAACAAAATCTGACATGAATTTAGTGTAGTAATAAGCCACCCACTGAAAAAACACATCTGACTTGTTCTCTGGCTTTTTAACAACATTAAATCACAGATACTATCCCATGACAGAAAGAAGTATGGTTATAGAAAATTCTTCTGTTGACATCCAAAATCCAATTTAACTTTAGAGATTAATATAACTGATGGATCTATATTTTGGAGTTTTGAACTACAAATTTTTACTTCTAAAATGTAAAATAAGATAAGTGGTGACATAAAAGCAACTACCCCACCAAACATTGAAGGACAACATAATGCCACAGTTAAAATCTAACTTTTATTTTTTAATCCATAGTTTACTGGAGGTTGCTTGGAGTCCCATTTTCAAACAGCCACAAGACAGTTTCTCCTTTTCCATGTGTGTGTTAATGAGCCAGAGAGATACCTAGCTACACAATCCACAAAACTTACCCAGGCACCACACTTCAGGTGAAACCTGTGAATCCTCCACACACCTCATACATAAATCTTCACCATCCAAACTGAATAGGGACTCCTGTTATCTGTTGGCAGAAAAGCAAGACTGATCTCAAGCAGTTCACATTGTGGAACTTAGTGAGCTCTGTAGCAGGCCTAAAAACCATGGAAGCAATGGCTGGAAGAAGAAAACCAAGAATATCTCTAAGGAAACAAATGACAAAAGACCAGACAGCATTTTGCAGTATACATACAAATTCAGAAAGTGCTATAAGCAACACCACCAAGGCTCAACCAAAACTAGTTAAGGGAGACTAGTTAAATGGAAGAGTTAACGCTAGTTGCACAGAGAAAAATCTTTCTGAGATTTCTAAGTAGAGTGTCTCAGAATAAAATTGACCAGAAAAGCCGCTAGTCATAGTCTATTGATACATGTCTACAGTCATGAAGCACAAACCAACAGATTCAGTAGGGTCTACCTTCACCCCTCCTCCTCCTCGCATGGCCAAGACTAGCCATCACCTTCTCCCTTCCTGCTAGCACTTCATGAGGTAGCATAATGTTCCCAGCACAGACGAGAACTCAAAAACTTGGCCACTTGCATCACTCAGCAACACCTGGTACTTTTGGCTTCTTTGCTGGCTACTCATTGCCTCGTCTCCACCTCCTCGCTTGCCCTCTCTCTCTCACTTGCTTACTTTGTGATTAATTCTCTGCATAATTAGCTTGCTCTGTAATTAATTCTCTGTGCTTTGTAGGTTTGTTCCATAATGGATTCATTTTTGAACTTATTCCTTGCATCTGTTTATGTACTTAACTAAGTCTGATTCACCTAATCACAGGTTCTCTGTGTTACTGAATTCTATTGCTATAGTTTCTTTGCATATATATTAGCTCCCATAAATGAGTGGCTATATAAACGCTTCACTTGTTTTACGCACGGTTGTTCAATAGCTCCGTTGCTGGCTACGCTATTTAGCGAGTCATATCAAGCCTCCACCTGCTAGCTGGTATCTGCATTATCATTCTCTGTATCACAGCTCCTTTTGCGCTAACGATCCCTTCCTGTCCTTTTCCTTTATGATTCTTTCCAACCCATCCCTCTCCTTCCCTTTTCTCTAAACACTTCTCAGCTCCCCACATACATACTACTTTTCTGAAATCTGTCCTCCTTCCATCTCCTTCTCTCTTTCCCCAGCTACAACCTGGCCTAACTATTCCCAGTCTTCTGGGGTTTGTCTTCCTACTTCTACTAAAACAACAAGTATCTCAAAATATTTCATCCAGATGCACAGATACATTTATTAAAAGCCACGCTGGCATAGCTTTGTTGTTTGTATTACCTGACTGAGAAAGCTGGACTAAAACTATCACATATATTTCTGTCTATGCTACAATTGCACCTCTGGCTCACAGTATAGACAGAGTCTCTCATTTAGGAGATTACGCTGTTCATTTTCAGTGGTATGTCAGTCTCTCTTCACTTTGGAAAATATTCAGAGGATATATAAAAGATTGTATACCTGTCTCAAATTAACTGCAAGTGTCATGCTATAGTGTGCACAAGAATTTGGTGCATTTGTCAGACTCGGAAAATCTATATCCTAAGTGGGAAGCCCAGCTTCAGTTTGAAAAAGGGAATTTTAATCAGCATGTCTGAGTGCCAAACACCTACAAGGAAGGTATACTCAAAAGGAACTTCACTCTTGACTTTTTCCCAAAGACAAATTATGGTCTACAGTTCTATTTAGATACTAAAGGAGCATTCAGTTTTTCACAAAAAGTTTGGCCGAACAAACAAAAGGGGCAGAAGCTGGTGATAGTTTCCACCTTTCATACATTAGCCTAGTTATTCAACTTCATCTCCTCATACTAAGGGAGTTCAGACCCTCAAATTCATATCTTTCATGTTTCGGTAGAGTGTCCTAACTACACGTGTGAAATCTAAACTAGAGAAATAGGGGATGAAATTTTTTAGTTTTCCTAATAGCAGGGTCCCTGTCTAAACTAGAGAAATAGGGGATGAAATCTTTTAGTTTTCCTAATAGCAGGGTCCCCCCTACAGAAAAGAAAGTAAAAACTTGTGGAGACTGAGAAGATGGAGCACAACACAGAGCCTGGCTGTAACCTAGCATTTAAGCACTAACCTTATAGGAGGAGAGGTCAACTTTGGTTTCAGCATCTGTTTATATTACAACATTGTTGAATGTGAGAGCAACAGAATTCCTGTAAAATGTATTTGACCCCATCCCAAACAGAGAAGGTCTAGAGCTAAGATTTCTTCTTTCTAGATGAAAGCTTTGATCATGGACTGCTATGTAAAAGGTAGTCACTTTCTCCCTTTGCATTTAGAAATAAAGTCGATCAATTTTGTGAGGGGAACAAAATCATGTCACTGTCAAGCCCCAGCTAATTTCTGCTAACCAGGCACCAGTTTACTCTGCCTGAAGTATAACCAAGTGAGTTTTAAGCCTCTGAGAAGGGATCTTAGAATTAAAAGTGAACTTTCACAGCTGAAACCTGCCTTTGGACTGCTATCAACTGTTTTGCAAAATCTATTCCCTAGCATCTCAAAATCCAGGGTTAAATATGCCATTTGTTTTTCAAGATATTACTCAAGTACAGTATTTTGGTATAATGTGCTGCAGCTCAGTGAACAAAGCCTGTCAATGCAAAGAGCCTTTTAAATAACAATCCTATTCCTTGTCTTCTCATCCTTTATACTCTTCACTGGCACTCAGTCAATATGGAGCTATTATTCCCAGAAAATGTATTTTTTTAAGATTATCAAGAACTTGAATAAGTTTAATCAGCTTGCTTCCACTCCCGCTGATGTGAAGCCTTTTAATTCCTTTCAGAACTTCACTTTTCATGTGAGTGACAAGGCTAACACTAGGAAAACAAACCCAACTTCTTCACAAGATCTTCCCTTCTTTATATGGAAGAGCTACTTGATTTTATAACTTTTTAAAATTTTTTTTAGTTTCCAACTCAAGATGGGGGCTTAGATAAGATTTAAGATGTACCTATTTAATGATTGTTTTATTTCAACCACATTGATTTTTAAACCATCCTTCCCTGCACGGAGCATCTGTTCAAAAAGTTTTACTTGAAAAGTCATGAAGATGTGTAGTTTGTAATGTCAGAAATAAATCTTATTCTCTCCTTCCATAGGTTTCTTATATATTTATTTTTCTAGATGTTTTTATGACTCTGTAACCACCTTATGTGTGCATCTTTCA